AATTCAGAGCTGAATTGGGATGCCATGATGACTGGAGATGAGCCGGGAGACAGGTGGCATGGAGTCTTGGCTGGTAGGCTGGTCTGGGCCTAAATAGGTCAGCGCAGAGGGCAGATCTTCAGGAAATTCCCAGTCCCAGGCACTGGACTGACAGATTCAGTAACTTATCAGCCAAGTTCCCACCTTGGTCTCCAGGGATCCGGGCACACCCATCACCTGGGAGGCAGGTGATGTCAGGGGCATTCCCTTCCCCCAGCATGAAGACAAGATGCCAGACCCTATCATTTTCACCATGTGGCCAATATGGCACCAGCCAGACCTGACCTCCTTCCTTCATTTCCTTCCTTCTTCCCTTCTTTTCCTCCCTCCCTCCCTCCCTCCCTCCCTTCCTCCCTTCCTTCCTTTCTGTCTTTCTTTCTTTCTTTCTTTCTTCTTTCCTGGGGCTTGAACTCCAGGCCTGGGCGCTATCCCTGAGCTTTGTAGTTCAAGTCTAGCACTCTACCACACAGCAGCCTCCTGTGTAGCTAGGATTACAAGCTTGAACCAAGGGTGCCCAGCTTTCCATCCCCCTGCCCCTGCTTGGTGCTGATATTGGGCTTGACCTCAGAGCCTAGCTAATCTTTTTCATTCAAGGCTGGCTGGCACTCTACCACTTGAGGTACAGCCAAACTTTCTGCTTATTGTTTGTTTTTGTGTTTTGTTTTGTCGGTTGTGGGCTTGAACTCTGGACCTGGGCGCTGTCCCTCAGCTCTTCAGCTCAAGATTAGCCCTCTACCACTTGAGCCACAGCACCACTTCCGGCTTTTTCTGCTTATGTGGTGCTGAAGAATCGAACCCAGGGCCTCATGATGAAAGGCAAGTACTCTACCACTGAGCCACCTTCCCAGTCCTGCTTTTTGGTTGTTAATTTGAAATAAGACTCACAGATTTTCCTGAATAGGCTGGCTCTTGGAACAGCAATCCTCAGATCTCAGCCTCCTACATAGCTAGGATTATAGACATGAGCCACCAGCACCCGCTGAAGTTTCTTTGATGGCCAAGGTCAGCTATTTCTTTCTTTTTTTTTTTTTTTTTGTCGGTCATGGGGCTTAAACTCTGGGCCTGGGCACTGTCCCTCAGCTCTTCAGCTCAAGGTAAGCGCTCTACCACTTGAGCTACAGCACCACTTCCGGTTTTCTGGTGGTTTATTGGAGATAGGAGCCTCACAGTCTCTCCTGCCCGGGCTGGCTTTGAACCTCGATCCTTAGATCTCAGCCTCCTGAGTAGCTAGGATTACAGGCGTGAGCCACCAGCGCCTGGCTAAGGCCAGCTATTTCATTCAGATTTGTTGGTGTGCTGGAACAGTAATCAGAAAGTGGGTATTTGTTACTCAGTGACTGAAGTTTAGTGAGTTCCCTGGGGTTTATAGTTGCTGGTTTCACAAAATGGCCTCCAGTTCTATTCCATTATTTTAAAGCAAATCACAGAGGTTGTGTCATTTGACCAAAATATCTCTAAGGGATTAGACTCTTGGCCAATCATATCATGCATACCTGTGATTCAAGAGGCCTGGGGAAAAATTAGTGAGATCCCATCTCAATCCATAGACTGGGTCTGGTATTCTCATTCCAGATTTGTGGGAGGTGTACATGGGAGATTGCTGGTTTAGACCGACCTGATTCCAAAACTGCAAGACTTGATTTAAAAAAAATAACTAGGGGGGGCTGGGAAGGTGGCTCAGTGGTAGAGCGCTTGCCTTGCATGCCTGACCCCCTGGGTTCGATTCCTCAGCACAACATAAGCAAAAACAAAAAAGCTGGAAGTGGTGCTGTGACTCAAGTGGTAGAGCGCTAACCTTGAGCTGAAGAACTAAGGGACAGTGCCCAGGCCCAGAGTTCAGTCCCCATGACTGGACTCCCCCACAAAAAAAATACTAGGGGCTGGGAAGGTGGCTCAGTGGTAGAGCACTTGCCTTGCATGCATGAGGCCCTAGATTCAATTCCTCAGTACCACATAAGCAGAAAAAGCCAGAAGTGGTGCTGTGGCTCAAGTGATATAGTGCTAGCCTTGAGCTGCAGAGCTGGGGCACAGTGCCCAGGCCCAGAGTTCAGGCCCCACTACTGGCAAAAACAGCAACAACAGCAAAAAAACTAAAAGCAAAAATACCTGGAAGTGTGGCTCAAGTGATAGACTGTCAGCCAACAAGTTCCCTGAATTCACACTCTGTTACAGCAAAAAATAAATGATGTCACAGGGGAATTAAGCACCAAAAAAATGCCATTAGTGGAAGAGCTGTGGTTCAAGTGGTAGAGCGCCAGACTTGAGCAAAAAAAAGCTCAAGTACAGTGCTCAGGCCTTGAGTTAAAGCCCCAGAACCAGCACAAGTACAACAGTTTTTTTGGGAGGCTGGGAATGTGGCTTGATGGCAGAGTGCTTGCCAACTGGGTTCAAATCCTCAGTACCACATAAACAGAAAAGGTCAGAAGTGGCACTGTGGCTCAAGTGGTAGAGGGCTAGCCTTGAGCAAAAGAAGCTCAAGGACAGTGCCCAGGTCCTGAATTCTGGTCCTGGGACTGGCAAACAAAAACAAAAACAAAACTGTTAGACACAAAACACAAAGAAAAGTTTTTTATTGCCAGTAGAGGGACGGCCAAGCCCTCTTCTCACAAGAGAGAAGTGCCAGCTATTGTCTGAGGTGACCTATATAATAATCTAAGAGGTTTAGGAGGTGGAGACCCTGGTGTGGACGTGAGGATCAGCGGCTTCATCACGTTGAACTAGGATTTATGGCTGCTGTCCAAATAGTAGATGATAAAGGGCCCTGCAGCTGCCCAGACCTGAAGGTCACTCTAAGGGGCTCTTGTTGCCTTCTATGGTGGTAGCTGCCCCAGAGAAGCGCCATCCCAAGGTAAAGGGGGTTGGAGGCTGATTATTTACTGCCTTTACTGCATGGGCCTAGTGCTGCCTAGGAAAGGAGCATGCTAAGCTATGGGCTAACAAAAACAAAACAGAGATGTCTTATTTTCCTAACCCACAGCATCTGGCCAGACAGGTGTGGCTTCTATCAAAGAGGGCAAAGATCTTCCTCCAGTGCTGACTGGCACCTAATCTGGGCCCGGCCCAGGTCACACCCTGCTGGGCAAAAGAGGAAAAGCAAGAGATGCCAGAAACCCTAGACAATCCGGAGCCGGGAGCAGAGGGGAAGTTCTCAGACACGTGGCCGGCTACAGATACAGACAGGCCTGCGGTAAACACCTCTGGGGAACCCGTGGCATCTGGGAGCCCAGGATGAGGCTGTTCCCATGGCTGGTTTTCCTGGCCCACTGGGGAGTCACCACGGCTGAAACAGGTAGGGCCCCAGGAACACCGGAGGTGTCTTTGTTTTGTCCTGTGAACTCCGGTTGGAGTTCACAGAGGGAGCCGCAGAGACCGAGGGAACAGCTTAGGCAGGCTGCGTGAGTCTCTCATAGAGTTTAAGTAGGGGCCACACTGGGCCAGGGTTGTCATAGCATTTGTTAATTGAAATAACATTTGAATAATGAAATAGCATTTAAATCCTGAAACATAGCTAATAAGAAAACTATACTGGGGCTGGGATGTAGCTCAGTGGCAAAGCACTTGCCTAGCAAGTACTAGGGATCTGATCCCCAGTTTAAAAACAAGAACTATATCTGAATGAGATATAGCTCTAGACAATACACAAAATGAGGAGCAAGAAAAAGAGAATGTGCCAGACACTGCCAGCAGTTATCAGCCCTTATCTCATCTCCATTGTGTATAGGAAAATAAAGCATCAGGGAAACAGCTTTGTAGTGAGGCAGGAAATGATCCCCAGCTGTCCAACTATATTCTGTTTATAACAGAATGCTCACTGCTAGGTGCAGGTGGCTCATGCCTGTAATCCTAACTGCTGTGGAGGCTGAGATCTGGGGATCAGGGATCAAAGGAGACAAATCTGAGAGATTCTAATTTCTATGTAGCCATCAAATAGCCAGAAATGGGGTGTGGCTCAAGTGATACAATGCTAACCTTGAGTGAAAAAACTAAGGGATAGTGCCCAGGCCCTGAATTTAAGCCCCAGGACCAGCACAACCCCCGTTCTCACACACACACAAAAATGAAAGTGGAGGTTGTATGGTTTTAGGCCAGGAAAGAGCACGCAGAAGGAGGTAAAGGTGAAGAAAGAAAAGTTTATTGGGGGGGCTGGGAAGGTGGCTCAGTGGTAGCGCGCTTGCTTTGCATGCCTGAGGCCCTGGGTTCGATTCCTCAGTACCACATAAACAGAAAAATCTAGAAGTGACACTGTGGCTCAAGTGGTAGAGCGCTAGCCTTGAGCTGAAGAGCTAAGGGACAGCGCCCAGGCCCAGAGTTCAGGCCACACGACCAGACAAAAAAAAAAAAAAGTTTATTGAGGTATACTCCCCAGCGAACTCCCTGGTCTGGATCAGAGAGGTTGTGCAGAGTCTGGTTGTAGCAGGGTTTATATGGCCCGGGTCAGCAGGAACTTTTAGCATATAACTTGTTTTGCAAGTTTGAGCAGTTTTGGGCTAGTGCCCCCAAAGGATGATTGGGAAAGGTGGTGTCTAATTGGGACAGGTGTATAAGGAAATGGCTTTTCTCGGCTGCCTCTGCCCTCCACCTGTCAGAGATGTAGCTCAAGTGGTAGAGTACCAGCCTTGAACAGAAACGCAAGCCAGAGTGTGATACCCTGAGTTCAAGGTCAAATACTAACAGACACACACACACACACACACACACACACACACACACCACCACCACCATACACACACAGAGTAATTTAATTTTTTAAATTTTATTTTATTTTATGTTTAGATTTAGGATCTCCTGTGTTGCCCAGGCTGGCCTTGAATTTCTGGACTGAAATGTCTTCCTGCCATAGCTTCTTGAGTTGCTGAGACTAGAGGCAGGCTCTACCAGCCTGGCTTCATTTGATTTGGTAGTCCCTGTAAAACAGGTACTTTGGTCATGATGCCCATTTTGAGGATGAAGAACCTGAGCCCACGTGGCTGGGAAGTGGCCTTTGTCCGCTGCTGTGAGATCTATGTCCCTCCCCATGTCTTCTTGGAATGGTGCTAACTTTTCTCTTTTCCTGCAAGCTTGCTGGAATGTTTGCACATCTATATTTTTAAAGCTGAGGTAAATTTATTTATTCATTTATTTAGTGGGTCATGGGGGCTGAACGCTGGGCCTGGGCTCTGACCCTCAGCTCTACAGCTCAAGGCTAGTGCCCTAGACTTAAGTAGCAGCGCTTCTTCTGGCTTTTTTTCTGCTTATGTGGTGCTGAGGAATCGAACCCAGGGCCTCAGGAATACAAGGCAAGCGCTCTACCACTGAGCCACCTTCCCAGCCCACCTGTACATGTTTTTCAGATCCCAAGTCTTCCCAGGCTAGCCTTACTATGCTGGATTTTGCTCTACAGTCCAGTCCAGGATGGCCTTGAATTTTGATCCTCCTGCCTCAGCCTCCCAACCATGGTTCAAAGTCAGATTTTAGTTTTGGTGTTGAACTCAATGACTCAGCTATATTTCAGCCCTTTCTGTGTTAGGCTATTTTTCAGTTAGGGTCTTACACTTTTTTTTTTTTTTTTGGGTCCAGTCGTGGGGCCTGAACTCTGGGCCTGGGCGCTGTCCCTCAGC